TAATACTCTCTTACTGTTCCTTTCTGACTGAGCTTGTTGAATTCCTCAATTGGATCATCGCACTGATCCTTAAACCGTTTGAGCAATTCAGTTTCAAACAAATTTCAATCAGCATAAGGATAAACTGATTTGAATCCTTGATACCAAATATCTGCAACTCCATCCAAATAAAACTCTACAGAATTCAATTGCTCATCCAAGCTCATTTCATGCATTCGAAAGTACTTATGACATTTCATTAACCAACTTCGAGTATTTTCCCCACAGAGAACAGGCAATTCAAGCTTAGGCTTCGGTTTCCACTTGTTATGCTGTCTAGTATCCCCCAACACAATATTATCCCCAAACTCCTCACCTCTAGTTCTTTGAGCAAAATTAAGACCACAATTCATTGAGTTCTATGCTCTTTTATCACATTTAACACCAGAAATCGAAGGAGATGAATGATTAAGAGTATTCTTACCCACACAGGTCGGAGAAACTTGGAGAGGTTCCTTTGATCTTTCAATTCCTGAAACCCTAGCCTCCACCATGTCCAACCTTTCGCCCAACTTCCTATCGATCTCTGGCTGAGACTGAGTGAAATCACTTCTCATTTGCTGCATCTGTGCACTGGGATCCTTAATCTGTTCAAGAATCATCGCCATTGACGATCACCGGAATCCACCTGATTCTGATTCTTCACGTGTTTGGACGCCATAATTCCAAACAGGCCAAGGAATTACAAGCTCTGGATACCAAATGTTAAGCTCTGGATTGGAAATGATGATTTTATTGACGGAAATAAATCTCACCGGCGCCGAAATGACGTCAGATCAGTCAAGGAGTACAAATTGGAGCTATCTCTGGGTGTAAACTGAGAAAAACAACTTCACACAATTCTTATGACATATCAATAATAATCTAGAATAATCTTACTTAGATATTTATAGTTAAAAGACAAAATCAACAAACGGATCACGTGTAACCCATCTACCCGACCCCTCTGTGCGTGAAAATATTAAATGCTGCTGTGGCTTCCCACGATGTGCCAAAGTCGAATTCAAACTTCCACCGACTTCCTGAATTTGGTGGGCATAACATTTGGTTAATTCGAATTTGATCCGTGGCCTCAAAAAAACATAAAATAATAGAATAGAATAGAATTTGATCTGTGAGAACTAGTATCATTGGCAGGCAAAAAACCATTTTTTTTAACCGTGAAGAACTTTAGAAAGTATTTTAGCCACTATAGCAACATTGTTGATTGATGGAGTATTATTATTATTATTATTATTATTATTATTATTATTATATATATATATATATATATATATATATGAGGAAGCAAAAGCTTAGTACAAAAACAACTCCAACGGGTTGAGTCGGGCCAATCGATGACCATTTTCTCAGTCGTTTCATCTAAGGGCATTGACAAAAAATGCAACCTCATAGCATATAATAAACCTAACTTCGCTAGGAAATCTACATATTCGTTACCGTTCCGTCCTATGTTTGTGATTTCTACCACTTATTGACAGTCCAAAAGGTTTCTAATTCTGTACAAAATGTTACTTGGGGATGAAACTTGACAATTGTCATTCATTTGGTTGACAGCCTGCGTGGAGTCCAGCTGCAATTGATTTACTATGAATCCCTAAATAAGAATTTGATTTTTGCTAGCCTATGCCCTTTTGACACTGATGATGATTTAGGGCCCATCAATATCTGCCGACAATCATTACTAATTTATTGTTAACTAATCATCATGTTTTGCATTTTAGTCATGATGCAGTATTCCTTTAAGAATTCTTTTAGTAACCCAAACAACAAGACCCATTCATCCAAATTAATTTTTTCATCTTTCTACAGGCTATCTTTATATATCTGTGTGTGTGTATTTTTCCAATGCGAATCTCATTGATTTTTATCAAAATTCTAATTTCTTCTGGTCGTCTCCTCCGAACTGGTTATTATTCAGTGCTGTCTCATTTCAGATTATAAATGAAGTATTCTTTCAAAAAAAAAAAACTCGGGGGACGAGTACTACTTAAAACTCGATTCAAATAAATATAATCTAATAAAATTGAAAATGTGGTAATTTTCTCCGTCCAGAAATGGATTTTAAAGCCGAATGGGTGGCGGGCCTATTTGTTTTGGATTTTTAATTGGGATAAAGGCTTTATCATAAAGCCGACTCCATAGTTTTGAGCCATTTTGATGGATTTTGGGCTTTGAATTGTTATTTTGGGACATCCCATCAGAAAAGAAAGAAAAGAAGAAACGTTGGAGTCGTCGCGTCAGGTTCCTCGAGGATGGTGGCGGTCAACATTGTCTCTGTGAATTTGACTGAATCTGAATTCTGATAATAAAATAATCAGCTTCAGAGTAATAATGATATGATTACAATTATAGTCAGACAGACAAAATCTTCAATAAACAAATCCAGTTTTGTGCAGCACGCAATAACAGAAGATTATGAGGGGCAAAAAGGTGACCGGACGGTGAACCGGGACGATGTCAAACGGAAAACCGGCTAGATACTAATATTATGTCATCCCTGACGTAATTAGCGGGGCCTAGGGAGCCGCAAATCATATATTTTAATTAATTATAATAATTCGATTAAATACTATAATAATACAAAGCGACTTTTAAAATAGATAGACAACCAAGAGAAAGCTGGGTAGGTTCAATGCATTATATTCTCCCCTCTTGTCTCGATTTCCCCATTTCACTGATGCACGTGATTTGCTATTTTTGGTATTTACGTATTTTTATATTACTATTACTATTTATTAATTAATACTACTGACTTCTTTTTTTTTTTTTTTTTTTGTATAGCTACTAAAACTATAGTGAAAGATGATTGTAATTGAGCAAGCGGACCCCGTAAATTGTTTTTTACGTTATACTAATTGTTAAAGGAATATTACTGGTTGGACGATTTACTTCGGTCAGTTAATTAGTTGGAAGAACCAAAATTTCGACATTAAAAATAGCCGTGAAGTTTGGCGGGTAAATATGGAAAGTAGTAGTACAAATGTACAATATTCAAAATAAAAGAAGGAATATTCCAGGAATAAACCAAACCCATTACCATATTGCCAAATTCAGGATGGAGAGTAATATTCATGTTGGAGATCAGGAAATGTCTGAACTATGTTAGAATCAGTACATTATGGGAATTGAATTCTTTATACTAATTAAAAAATAAATAAATATCATACTGCAGTTGGAAATTATGAGCTAGTCGACTAATCAAATTGAAAAGCCATAAATTGTCATTATGCTCGCCAATAATTGGTTTACGATTGTAAAGTTGACTCATTCCTTCTATTTTTCTATAATCCACTTAAGTAATTTGTTAGAAACAAAAAAAATACAACCACCAATATAGTTTTGCTCATCTCCTTTAGCACAGGAGAATTATTAGTATTTGGCAAAATTACACGTATTCAATACGTTACATTTGGTTTTACTTCGAGTTGAAAATAACTTAGACATCAAAATAATTAATCTATTCTATCTAGATCTTACGTTCACAATCCAATCAAAATCAAATCTGTCGTACCAAAAATAAAATAAAATTTGTAAAGGCAACTTTGCTATTTGATCATTCAAAAACTATTAATTAAATATATTAGAATCAGTTGAATTATTAATAATCTTCTGAATATCAACTCAACTGTCGAAGAGACAGGGACAGCGTAGCTTCAACTAGATCATTACTAAAATAATTAATCTCCTAATCACACCAAAGATACAATGCATACGCGAACCGTACACTCCCTATATATCTTTCAGCACGATTTTGGTTGCTTTCCGAAAGGGAAAAACAAAATAATTGGTCCCGCTAATTTGACCCGTAATTACCATTATTATGAACTGTAATAAATCAATTTCACATTTTGCTGGTGGAATATTCTTATTTCCTTACAGTAACTCGTATACTTAATTATATATTACCATACAATTTTATTCCCACTAAAAATTTAGCCGATTAGTGAAACTAGTAACTGTTTTGCAACTCTATAATCCCCTTAATTTTCAATACTCATTTGCACGTTTAGTACTACATTTCTAAGATACCTCCGCTGTCAACTTTCACGACAAGTTGACGGCGTGCATATTTAATTTCAAAAAGATTTACTGTTAATCTAGTGTGGCAGATTTATTTATTTTTAATGATTTTTTGGTACTCGTATTTAACTTGCTATGTATAAACATCAGATTGGTTATTTCATTATTTGTAGCCCGAAATTAATCAAAAATAATTAAAGCTAAACCGAGGCAGTAACTCCAACTCAAGCCATTTTCTTGTTAAGATTATACAATAAAATAAAATAAAAAAAGTAATACAAAATCGTCTACTCTTGATTCCTTGAAAGATGGAGCAATATGTTAAGCTTTTTACCTACTTGTGTCACAAAATCTGGAGGAAATGTAGCTTAACTAACGTGAAAAAAAAAAACTCGTAAATGTTAGTACATATGTCACTAGAAGGAATATGCAACAAATTGTAAAAGTTCCCCGACTAACAATGCCGCACATTGTTCATCTGTTGGTTGTTTTTTTTTTTTTTTTTAAACTAATTACCACTCAACTATTTCATTTTATAATATTATTCCGTTATTTCTTCCTACGTAAAATAACAAAATGCTTGTTACCATTAAGTATGTGATTTACATCCAAAATAATAACCTTGCTTTAAATTGTTCTTCATTTAATTTTGAATGCTTGAATTTGGAAATTGACTTATTAAATCATGCATCTGATTAAGCGAAAAAAAATCGATAAATAAATGTGATATTCTATCAAGAAATTCCTTCTAATTCATGATGTGATGCTATCAACTCGGGTGGACACGTTAAGAGAAATGAATATTGTATCTTAATTCTAATCAAATATAATTATTTTCATAATTAGATAATTGAAATGTGAAAAAATGAGGTAAATAAAAAGGTGAACAATGCAGTAAATAAGCTAGTTGAGTATTTCTAACACACTGATTTTTTTGCACCAAATGTAAAATGAGTACTATTAATAAGTATATGAGCTAATAATGAGGAAGTTAAAGATTATGATGCCAAGTCTGCAAGAAAAAAAGGATTAACAAACAAAATAGATATTTTTTTTTTTTACAAAGCCAAAAAGGAGAAGTAGACCCCACATGCAATAAAGGGCAAAAGTACCATCATCATCGTCATCATCTCCATCATCACCATTCCCAAATTGTAAAACCTTTTTGCTCCCTCCTCAGCTCTTACTTTGTACTTCTTCTGATAAATTCCCTCAAATTGAGTAGTTTCCTAGCTCCATTTCCTCCATTTCTTCTTCCCATATACTTTGACTTTCTTCACTCTGGCTTTGACCGTGTTGGAAGCTTCTGAAAAGCTTCAAAAATTCCTGGGAAAAAAGTTGTGAAGGAGACGTTTAGTAAGTAGTAATCGGAATAATGGGGTTGAGCCCGAATGAGACCGAAATAAAGTCATCAACTGAAACTGGGAGGAGGGACCGCGTGGCTTGTGATTTCTGTAATGACCAAATTGCCGTCTTGTACTGCCGAGCTGACTCCGCGAAGCTCTGTTTGCTCTGTGACCGCCACGTCCACTCTGCCAACGCCCTTTCCCGGAAGCATCTCCGGTCTCAGATCTGTGACAACTGCGCCGCCGAGCCTGTCGCCGTCCGGTGCACTACCGACAATTTAGTTCTGTGCCAGGACTGTGATTTTGATGCGCATGGTTCTTCTGTTTCCGTCCAACATGATCGGACTCCGGTGGAGGGATTCTCCGGCTGCCCTTCTGCTTTGGACCTAGCTTCCGATTGGGGTCTGGAAATCGATCAGGAGAAGAAACAGCAGCAACATCAACCCGGGCCCCATTTCCAGCTCCATGACTCTAATTGGGGTTCCTCTGCTGATTCTGGTGCTCCCTTCTTTCGTATGGATTTTCTTCGGGACTTGATGGTCCCCACCGGTCACCATAATCTTCCTCATCATCCTGCTACTGCTGCTGCTGATGGGTTTATTTACCCCGGTACCGGAGATGGTGGTAGGCCCCACGGGGACGACGATGCTTTCATGAAGAAGCGTAGTAATCAGGATATTATTATTACTCCCAGCTGCGGGAAGCAGAGGCAGCTCATCTTGAAGCAGTTGATTGGGTTGCTAGAGAATGATGTGGTGGATGGCGGCGGCGGCGGCGGTGGCGGCGGCGGCGGAGGGGATGATTTGGGTCCCGATACCCCGAATGCGAGTGGTGGTGGTTGCGGGGTTTGGCACCGAAATGAGGACGTTGGTGCAGGAGGAGGAGGAGGAGGATTATTGGGAAATGAGGAAGTTTCAGACATTGTCAATCAGCAGTTTCAGCCGCCACAGCCGCCGGAGAATGCACCATTTATGTCGTTGCTGATGATGCAGAACCCCAAGGATTCGAATGATCGGTTTTTTCAAAGCGGCAACATGTGGAACAGTAGCAGCGCTTGCGATCAATCATCCACTCAGGTTTTTTTACCCCCTGATTCCCATTCTTTGATTTTTTTTTTTTTTTTTTTTGGCTCTAATGTTGGTTTCATGTTATAACCTTAGTTGTCTTGTTAGTTGGATACTTGGATTGATAAACACCGTTCTTCAAGTTCTTTACCCTTCTAAAATTTCCCACTCATTCGTTTTGCTGACATGATTCATTTAAGTTCTTACTACTCAATTCAAATGCCACTTTTACAAGTCCTTAAATCCCATAGTGGATAGTTTGCGCCTAATTTTGGAGATTCATTTTTTTGTTGTTATTTAAGCTGTTGCAGTGTTTTTGATTGTGGTTTTGATTATCGAAGTTCTTGTAAGTGTGCCCATCTTGTAGACTCGTTTCGAGCTGATTGATGGGCTGTAGACTATATACCACTTTTCTGTTTTCCTCTTCTTGTTGCAGCATATTTCTTTGGGTTGAGTGCCGCGAACAGAAGGGCTTCGATTTTATTTTCATGTTGACTTGGTCAAAAGTTTTATCGGAAATGTGAAAAAGCTGTACTGAAATTAAAATGTATGAGCAATATGAAGATATATGTATGAAATGATCAGTAAGATGAAAAATGGGAAACGAGGTGCCCTGGAGGTTGTATATACAAACCCTAAATGTCCAGTGTGATAATTTTTTTGTGGAAATGGTTTGTGTCTTTTCGATATAGTTCCCTCAGTGTCCTTGAAAGTAAGGCTGACTATTCAATGGAGAGATGATGGTGAGGCAGATTCAGATGTTAGAAATATGGGGATGTGTATAATGTTGTGTCAGGATATATATGGGCATGGATGTGAGATTCTAATGTTCTGTTCCTTCCTTTTACTTTCTGAATTTTCGTTTGGCCATCTCAAAAGAAAATTAAAAAAAAGAATTTTTTTGTTTGGCCCTTTTCTTTGGATAAAGGGGTACAACTAAATTAGAAACAAAGGATACCACTAACATACTCCATTCAAGTGTGTCATCACATTGCTCTTTTCTTTTGCAACTTGGAGTTTCAGTTTGTAGAAGTGGCTCGTTGAATCAACCTTCTGATTTTTCAAGTGCTGCTGTATCAAACCAGAAATGGATTTTGGAAGTAGATAAATACTTGGTGGACTTGTGTTGTTTCAGTCTAAACTAAAGTTAACCTAATGCATTGAAAGCACTTCCATCTTCAAACGAATTATAATCTAGTTTTGATTTGATCTCCTATGAAACTGTTTGTGTTTTGACTTGCTCGACACCTTTTATTCATTTGTTTTGTGGTCATCTGGTTAAGTATTTCCTCTGTTGCTCTTTTTGCCCCAGGGAAGGAAAAATTTATGTGGTGCATTCAACTTTTAACTATGTAGTGTTTTTCTTTATAGCAGATTTGGGATTTCAACTTAGGACAGCTAAGAGACAACGATGACTCTAATGCATTGGAAGCGGGCTACAGCGCTAACGAAGTGGGATATATGATGAAAAGTTATGGAGAACTCCTAAAAGAAGCATCCTTGGGAACCACAGGTGGATTAGAACTATCTACATTGAACTGCTCTATTACACGCGAGGACATGGCAGCATTCAACGTAAGTGGATTTGCTTGTCTTGAAATCTAAGCTCGTCAATTAAATAACTTAATCAACATTGATGAAGTTTTACTAGCTATCACCTGACTTTCGGTTTAACTGATGCGATAAACCATAGGCCAGATAAAATTTTGTTGTTAGGCAATCATGCTTGCCCTTTATTTCTTGGTTGATTTTAATGGATCGAGAGGGTTCAATACGGACTTAAGATTCCATATGCATAAGGTGGTAAAGAGCATGATTAAACATAGAGGTTGTCTCTAATGCACAAAAAGCTCTAGGATGTTTTACTCTGAATACTGCTTAGCACCTTTACGACATTTAGGGTTGTATTGGCTGCTTTCTAATTTGCATTTGCACTATATATTGTTATATTCTTATTGTACTGAGAATGTAACCTCGAAATAAGATTATTGCCGTAGTGGGCATAGCGTCTGTAGTACCTACCTGTTCTGCTTTTACCTGCTGATAATCTTCCCATTTTGGTGATGAAAATTTTGGGCCTTCTATGCAGAACTCACACAATCCTGCCTCAAGCCAGGGACCAGCAACATCAGAGAGCAACAATCTAACTGTAGGGAGGGGAACATCAGGATCTGGTTCCAACTTGGGCAAGCGAAAATGCTTTGGAAATCCAAAAGATTTCCACCTTATAGATCAAACCATCCTTGTTCAAAGTAACCGCACTGCTGCAGCCATGAACAGCGCTGATATGGAGCTCTTGGCTAAGAACCGAGGTAATGCCATGCAGCGATACAAGGAGAAAAAGAAAACAAGAAGGTATGCAGGACTTACTCGCTACCGTATTATTACATTTTTCCACTAAAATTGCCTTTGTCAATTGTATTTTTTCCAAACACAAAAACATGATTGGGATTTCCTCTTGTTTTGGTGAAATCTTCTCCCTTTTCTAGATATGATAAGCACATTCGTTACGAGTCAAGAAAAGCGAGGGCTGATACTAGGAAGCGAGTGAAAGGACGATTTGTCAAGGCCAGTGAAGCTCCTGATGGATGATGAGAGGGGTGAGTTGCTGAGGTGGATGAACCATTCCCCTATTTTGTGTATATGTTAGGTGTTTTTGCTATGAAGATGTTGTATAAATTTCGTGTAGCCAGTCTATCTTGCTTTAGCCAATGATTATTTGATTTCATTACAGATATCTTTTGCTATTGCTCTGTGTTTGTGTGTGTTTTGAGATAAATTTATTGTACATATTTTTTGTATTATCTCACAAATATCATTCATTCCTTCTCATTTTAAATGTTTAACCGTTTAACAAAATAAACTATTAATATAAAAAATAAGATGAAAAAAGTAACAAAAACCGTGGGTTTGGTTTGGGGTATGGACAAAACTCCAAAAAATCTCCAAAAATCTGATACGAATTTGAATCAAAAGGAAAATTTCAGGATTGAGGGAACCAAGGAAGATGGATTGTGGAGGGCCCCTAATAGACAAAAAGACAGAATATGATGGAGTGCCTCTAAATGTTCATAAAGTACAAAAAAAATCTTTAACGGTCAATTTTTCTGTTTGACTTGGCGGAAACCAGGCCCGAGGAAAAGTGATTATGTTGGGCCATACCACTCAGAAGATACTCTTATTCTTTGGAACAAAGGCCCATTTCTGTTTTCGGCCATTTCAATTGCATCAATCGTATGTCCTACGATTGATGTAGGACATTTCAATTGTATGTTTTCGGCCATTTCAATTCCAAAATTAGGTCTATCATGTAATCCGAGGTTGCATATTTTGGCAACATCCCCAGACATAGTCTTAATAAAACTATCTTTTAACTATCTGCCTTCTCTTCAAAGCGCGGTCATGTAATTCTAAACGCAAGTTTCTCCTGTATGAAAAAAAAATTCATGTCCTACAATAGAGATTGATTTTTCATTTCTTTCTTTCTTTCTTTTTTTTTTTCGGCCATTTCTTTTTTCTCAATATTCGTCTAATTCTATTAAAATTATAAAAATAATAATTTACTTTGTTGAGATCGGTAACATATGGTTCATGACACAAATATCACATTACTCGCTTAAATTTATATATAGCAGGAAATTGTTTCCAAACAAACTAATCGTGTTTAGTGACAAAAATAATACCTACTAGCAGTGTTGTTAGTATCGTACGATACGTGATACATATCATACGATCCGTAACGAAAATATTAAATTTCGATACGAATCGGTTGGTCATATTGAATTTGACAAAAACTTGTACATTTTTTTTCTAGTATGGTACGAGTCGATACGTATCGATCGATACGGTCGATACATACGATATAATAGTCGAACCAAATTGAATAATTTTTTTCTATTTTATTGGTTGGTTTCCAAATTCCAGCGTCCAAGTAATTTCTAATTTTTTCAATAAAATAAATTACTCTTTATTAATTCTATGCGTAGAAGTTTAAAAGTCCACCACCGTCAAACTTCAACTTAATCTAATGGTTTTTGGTTTCCCAAATCAAAGAATTCCTTATAAGTTTAATTTTTAAGGTAAATTATCTAGTACACCCGGGGGTACCGTGTACCCCTCTGCGCGCATACTTTATTCTCTTTTAGTTTACTGTGAGCTTGCTAGATAATTCGGCTTTCTTTCTTTTTTTTAAAAAAAAAATCTTCTGTGGATAACCAGTGTGCACACTATGGATAACTAGTTAAACATAGCTGGATAACCAGTGTGCACACTAAGAATAACTAGTACAACATAGCTGGATAACTAGTGTGCACACTATGGATAACCAGCTACACACTATGGACAACCAGTGTTCACAATGTGGATAACCAGTGTTGGCAATATGGATAATTAGTTATACACAGTTGGATAACCAGTATTGACAATATGGATAATAAGTTATACACAATGGAACGTACCTTATTTTCATCATTTGGCAAACTGCCCCTAATTCATTTTTTGTTCTCCATCATTTGGCAAAATGCCCCTCATTCAATCAAATACTATTTATGAAAGTGTTCGGCAGGGGGGGTAGCGCAGCCGCAAGCACCGGTGCAGCCTGGTCGTTTAGTTTATCACGGGGATTTATACAAGTAATTTGTGTCCCCTCTTAACTCAATAACACACTCTCCTTACACACACACGAAAAAAGGATTACCTTAGCTAAATTGGCGTGTTCGGCGGGGCGGCGCAGCCAGGGTAGATTGGTGACCTGTGATTCCGGTAGCCGCAGGAGTCGTTTAGTTTATCATGGAGGGCGAAACCCCCCCAAGTATCATGTCGTTTGCTTCTTTACCTCTGGATAACCATTTTATAAGTTGTGGATAACCAGTTTTCACCTTCTGGATAACAGTTTACACCTTCTGGATAACCAGTTTACAACTCGTGGATAACCAGTTTACGCCTCGTGGATAACCAGTTTACGCCTCGTGGATAACCAGTTTACACCTTCTGGATAACCAGTTTACAACTTGTGGATAAATTATAGATAACCAGCAATTGTGTGTGTTTGTGCGTGAGGATGAAAACAGTAAAATGGATGAAAACAATTTTATTTGTGCATTTAATGTAAAGGTGAAAAATGTTGAGCGCATGTAGTGCGTGTGTTTGGTGGGGGTATACGGTATACCCGAGTGCACTTGTACTGACTCATTTTTAATATTTAGAATTAGAAAAAAGAAAAGCGGCTCATCTCTCTGTTCTCTCTAATCGAATTGATCACCATACCCCTTAAGAAAAAAAAAAAACTGATCACTATAGAAAAGTGGAGCAAAAAAAAACACTTTCCCCCGGCAGCCATCGTCAAACAAACTCCAAATAGTTATATGTTCTTGGAAAAGTTATATGCTTTTGGGATTGAGATTTTATTTTGTTGAATGTTATTTTTAAATTAATAGTTTATGAAAAGTCAATCGGATAATTAGTATAAATTTATGTAATACATTTAATTTTAATATTTATAAAAATCAATAAAAATGTATTTTACGATACAATATTTGATACGATATGTGATATAAATTTAATAATTTCGAGACATGATACGTATCTAGATTTGATAACTATGCCTATTAAGTTCAATTCAAAGTTCAAAATGCGCAATGGACTAGCTATTAAACAAATGACAGATTTTATTTATTTTTATTTCTTTAAAGAATTACTGTTGGTCTTTTGGTTTCTTCAAGAATCCAGACCAAGTGAAAAAGGCATGGTATTATGGGTCCCTTTTGAATGTGGTGGGGGAATAGCCGTCTAATAAATTTTATAGTACTTACCACTAACCAAACCACGACAAACGCAGAATAAAAAAATAAAAAAAAAAATCGTCTCTGCCTTTTTGAGAATTGAAGAACAAAGAGAAATGATGATTTTGACTGATTGACTGACTTCAAAACAAACTCTACTTTACTACAATAGTTGTATCTGGACTACACAGATTTAGTGGAGTAGAAACACTAGCACTTGCCTAGTGGACCAAACCATAAGTCATCTATTCTTATTTTTTCACCGACAGATTCCCACTCACCTTGCAAATTGATTCCTAACCCACTAAGAAAGCCACACTCTCTACCTGACTGTAAATGTACTAGAGCCTATATTGAGGGAAGTTATTAAGGGAATGAAGAAAATGGCACTTCTTTTTCATTTTTTCATTTTCCTCCTCCTCCAACAATTATCACCCGGGAGTGCAAATCCAGAAGGTAAACTTCAACAAAACCAGTTGTTTGTTCTTTGTTTGAATCGAAAAGTCTGTGTAACTCTTTTTTGGTCATGGGTTTTATCAGGAGATGCTCTGTATGCGTTAAGGAGTGGCCTGAATGACCCGGATAACGTGTTGCAGAGCTGGGATCCGACCCTTGTAGATCCTTGTACTTGGTTTCATGTCACCTGCGATGTTGATGGCCACGTCACCAGGCTGTGTGTAACACTCTAAAGACTCGAACATCTTCTTTCTTCTTGTTTCCTTTTCTCTTGCATTTCACATCAATACCGTTTGTTTGTTGTTGTTTTTTTTTTTTTGTGGTAGTGATCTTGGAAATGCAAACCTGTCTGGGAATCTGGTTCCTGAATTGGGAAAGCTGGAGAGGCTTCAATATCTGTGAGAGTGTTTTTGGGTTCTTTTGGGAAATTGAAATCCCCTGTTCTTCTGTGAATCTGATGTTTGTAAGAATCTCAAAGTCTACAATGTTCATTCATTTCAACAGGGAACTGTACATGAACAACTTGGGAGGAAGAATCCCTGCTGAATTGGGAGGACTCAAGAGTCTTGTAAGCCTGGATCTTTACCACAATAATCTCACCGGCTCCATCCCACCTTCCTTATCCAAACTCTCCAATCTCAGATTCCTGTAAGAAACCTCTGCTGCATTCATGCTTATTTTTTCCCTTCCATTCCCTTCTCGTGGGTTACAAAATATGACCTGCAGAAATATATGTGTGTAGTAAACTAACTTGGGTGATTTTAGGCGACTCAACGATAACAAACTGACTGGAAGAATACCAAGAGAACTCACCAAGCTTGCAAACCTTAAGATGCTGTAAGTACTAATACTAATAAATATACACTATATATATACTTCTACTATTGTCTATTGCCATCCTTGTATCCTTATAAGTTTCAGTCTCTTAGCTCATTCAACTCTGCTTTATCAATTATTATTATTCCAGTGATGTATCTAACAACAATCTGTGCGGTACAATCCCCACCGGCGGCTCTTTCTCTAAATTCACTGAGGAAAGGTGATGATTCTATTTTTTATGAGTCTTCCAAACAGACACAGTATATTTACGCAAATGAATGTTTTTTACGGTTCAGAAGAGAAGAGTTCTTTTTTTTTTTTTTTTTTTTGGGTACACTTTCTGATGATGTGAAGTTATTATACTGCAGTTTCAAGAATAACTCAAGGTTGGAAGGTCCTGAGCTGATGGGTTCTGTGAGATATGATGTAGGAAGTCGCCGTTGATGCGGCTGCAATTGCTGATGATAGAAATCATCCCTCCATTTGGACTAGAGGATGGTCTTTTCTATTGCTTCACTTCAACTCTGTCTCTATGTACTTGGTGTTTTCCAGCAACTGAAATAGTAAATGAGAATTGAGTTGGAAACTATAGCTCCAAAAGTCATGCTCTCATTTCAGGGCCATTTTTATTTTTTACTGATAGTTACTGCATTATCAAAGAATATATAACCGATCCCCGCCCATGTGAATGGAGCAAAATTATTTGGTCAGTCTCCTACCGTTTAGTGCGCTGCGCCGATCATAGGGACGGAGGAGCGGAGCTTCTCAAACCATGGTAGAAAAACGTGAGAAACTCAAATAGTTGGAGTGTTTAACAGCTTATAAATAGCTAACACGAAGAAAAAGCTCCTTCGGGGAACAAAAAGACAATAGAAGTATAGTTACATAATTCCATAGAGATCAAGCAACCTGGCAAAACATATTGTGGCTATCGGCTTTCTGATGTTTCTTCCGAAGCCAAAGAACGTTTTCCTCGTGCAACCACAAACTATACAGCTTTACCTGGAAAGCAAATAACATGCACAAAAAAACTGTAGTGGACACGTTGTCCATTCCCAGACATCATCTCGAAAACGGTATCCATTCCCTCCATCAACGAATTCCAAATGCGTTACTGAGCTCACATTATTCTCGCCATTGCCCTGATTCTTTTTTCCTGTGGAGATACATCAAAGCGATGGAACTCCGCATAAATTTCTAACATCAAAGTGCTCTCAGGAAACAACAACCCATTTGGTCCGAACCAAATTCTCACCTTCCTATGCTTCTGTCCATTCATCATAACAGTCTTCCGAATTGTGCCCTTTGAATATTTCATATGCTTCTTTAGAGGACAATTTTTTTTGGAGAGGAAACTCGAATTTGAGTCTGTAAAGTTTGTATTGGAAATCCATCATCAAAAGAAAAGGGAAAAAAAAAGAAAAAGAAGAGAAGAATAGAAATAGTTGAGAAGTACCTCGGACTTGAAAAAAAAGAGAAGAATCCACTCATTTATCTTTGACCCATAGATTCTAGTTTCTAACTATACTCCTTGATCGAATTCGGGTTCGTCCTTGCTGATTCTGTTCCGAGGCCATTAATTTAAGAAATCGTCATGGATTGAATTGAACTGAACTTTTCCTTGTTAGGATCGCTTCATTTTTGTGGTGGAAATCATGGCCGGAGTCAGAGGACTTTATCATCTGCCTAGTTGCCGCCTTCACACTGCTTGCGATTTACAGACGTTTTCAGTACGTTCATTTCTTCTTTATTAGTTAAACAAATTTTAGTACTATTTTTTAGTTTTTTTTAAGAACGTACCTGATATTAGTTAAAAGAACCTATACTATTAATCCATATCATGTAAATCGCTAACATCAGATCTGTTAACTTTAATTAGTTGATATGACTCAAAAAATGAAATTAAAACTAATAATAACGCAATAACTTCTTTGCTGCACAAGTATTGTCCAATTTTAGTACTATTGAAACACACTTTGTTTTCCACTTGATTTGATTTTTTTTTTTTTCCTTGCAATGCAGTTTCTTCGTTTACGCATATCTTTATTTTGGGGTTTTTTCTTTTTCCCCTTCTTTTGAAAGCAAAACGTACTATCATAACACAGCACAACATTACAACCTATGAACCTCTTTTATCTACTATGGTAATACTACCCCTAACTAACCTCGTCCTGGGAAAAACCTCCCTCAGGCCTCAACCACTGACTACGCTAGGAGAAGATACACAGAGATTAGTCTCACATATACCGAACTGTACTATTTGTAAGGTTAAACGAGACCTAGGCGAGAACTCGCATAGGATGGCTAGAGCCAGTCTTGATCAAGGTTTCCTCCTCATCTGTCAACGCAATCAGTTAAATTTTCCAAAAAAAAAAAAAAAAAGGGAAAAGAAAAACATAGTCTCGAGGGAGAAACTTATTCAGCTATAGAAACTTGGTTCCACAGGGAAATCAAGTTCCCAGAGAGAGTCGTTGGGAGCTGCAACCTGGGTAGAACTTAAAACCCCTCTACCCCAGCAACAGTTGAAGAAGGAACCAGAAATGCTTTCATCGTTTAGCCATTGAATCAATACGGATTGAACAAATCAATTTGAGCCTGTACACTCCTTTTCCTCCACCGCTTCTACCCTGAACCATAGCTCTAGAACAACACGGATCGATTCCTCCTTTCCCCACAGTTCTGATCAAGAGAAAGAAATTCAAGAGGCATACCCGTGCGTTTCCCCCCCAAAAAAAAAAAAAATCCAAGAACTTTAAGCTTGCTTCTGTATGAAGTTTGCCACGTTGATTTGGATCAGGTGATGAAACTTTTCATGCTCCTGCTGCTGTCGTGATAGATTTAAGGACCCAACAAAATAGATTTATGCTGTCATTTCCCACCCGTCAGAAATATATTCCATCGCTGGGTACACCCAACTTAGTGGAATTTGTTCCAACTGATCTTGCATTTCTGGGGCTCTTTGTTTCTCCTGAATCTCTACTTCCTCACCAGAACCAATGAAATACGTTAATGACGGTTAATGCCTGAAGAAGCGTTGCTTAGAGCTCCAACACGACTTTTATCTTCTGTTTTCAGGTCACTAATTTTATATTTGTATCAAATATCAAAAGCCCGAAAATCACAAAGATAATACAAACCTTAAAACTCTTCTCTTATTCTTCTTACAAGCAGAATTGAGTAATAACCACCATTAAAAATGCAAAGGAGATATATAGCCAGGGTAACCTGGCTAATCTTTTGCACTCCCTCTGTCCAAAAAAAGAAAAAAAAAATAATCCACTTTGAAATTTCAAATTTACACTAAAAACAGTACAACAAAGTTTAATGTGGACTATATCTTTTTTGTACAGAGGAAATACATTCTATCGCTGGGTGCACCCAACTTAGTGGAGCGGCACAGTTTGTTATAGCTAGTTACTCATAAAAATAAAAAGACTCAGTATACTAGTTGTGTAATGCAAAACACAAATGCTGAAAACTCTACACTAGAACTATAATATAGCCAGTAGCATATGAAATGGTACAAAAAAGATGGGAAAAAGAAACAATTAATGCTACAAAATTTACTTTAATCCATCATGATACAAAATTCCCCAGAAAAACGAGACGAGATAGTGTTTTCATGTCATGGGAGTCAACCTAATGGTTATACTAACCAAAAAAAAGGGGGGAGGGGGGGGGGGTCAATAGACAAGAAAAGAATATTTACACATTCCAGTTTCCACGAAGATCAAGCAACCTGGCATAACGCATCATGGCCATCTACTTTTTGATGGTTCTTCAAGTTGAAGAACAACTCAATGTGCAACCAGACGCCCCAGAAATCGGAATCTACTACAAACTATACATCTTTACCTGAAAAGCAAAAAAAGAACAAAAAAGGGAGCACAAAAGTGTCTGAGAGTCCATTCTAAAATTGAAAAGATGGTAAAAATATAACATGAAAAATGCAGACACAGTATGAGATCAAGATAACAACATCATAACATAAAGAGTGAATACAGAAAGGACTGAAATCGTCCCAGGAAACACAATTAAATTGTAATATAGTCACATGGTCAAATTCAAGTTACTTCGGGAGAAGGCCAAAGAATAGGAACAAAGTGCAAGGAGGGGAAGAAAAAGTTCGAAACCACCAGAAGTATAATGTCGTCATGCCCATTAAGGAAGAGAGCACTCTTCCACTTGACTACACAAGCAATTTAGAATTCCATCACATGGTTCAAGCATAGATTCAGATGATTTTCCTTCATAAAATAAAAAGCACCAATGACCCCAATTCCTAACTATATGACACTAATGTTTCAATAAGCTACTGTCACTTCGAAAGGAGCAAATCAAGATTGTTTGACCAGAAAAAGTGGGGAGGAGATGACATGCTAATGCTAAGATATCATGCAAAAGTCATCAATGCCTGCCAAGAGCTACATTGTTTTCAAATACCTGAACACAAATTCAATACTTCAAAAATTCAGTAACTTTTGTCTCATTAAGCAACTTTTACAACAGTAACAAAGACCAATCCATATGATAGTTCTTGTTCAAAATGTACAGAACCAAAAATGGAAAGTCATTGATTACCTGACTTTTCACTGGCTGGTTGATCTAGGAAGCAGGTGATATAGGATCCACTTTTGCTATGCTGATAGGTGTCAGTGGCGGTGAAGGCATCACTTCGTTGATCTTTAAAGTTTCAGGTGTCTCCATTGGTTTTGACCCATGCAATGCTGCCTCTATTTGGCCTCTGGATGGAATAGAGTAACTTCGAGGAATCACCTCCGGAGGCACCGGAAGGGTGGATGCTGCAGTACGCATCACAACCGAGTTCTTAACCGCAGGAAAGTCTCGTCCCTTGGAGATCAAGGGCCCTGAATGAATGATTCGATTTGGAGGCCTAGAGAAGTGAGCAGGGGGCCTTGGAAGCTCATGAAGCTCACTAATTTTGGGCGATGACACAAAATTTGGAGAAACCCGTGAAGATAATTTAGCAGTAGAAGACAAGGAAGGCACAGGGTTCCGCAGAAGTGACACAGAGAATGGATCAGGGTAACTGTTTGCCGTTATTGGACCACTAGCAGATAATACAGGCTTGTTTGGCCATGACTTTCCAGTGAGTGGACCAGAGAATGCCCGTGTTTTGGCCTTTTTATTATCAGATCTATGAGAATCGAGGCGAGGGGGGGAGAGACCTTCTGTTGAATGAGAGAGTACCCGGCTGGATTTTGTATTACCATTGCTCTCTTTTAGTATAGGACCAGAATAATGAGTTACGATCTTCTCGTACTTGTTCTGCTGCAAAGGGGACGAGTGCCACAAGTTAAGAGGAATATTACTCAGGCTAGCTCGTCTCGCTTGGGGTATGCTATCAAGCTTTCCAGAAATTGGAACCTTTGCTTCCTGTGGCGTAGGTAAAACATACGAGTTGAACCTTTGTGATGGTGAATGCCGCATTGAAGCATCAAATTTCTTTTCGGGATATATGGGACCGGATTTGCTGCTGATCTTGATTTCTTGGCGGAAAGTAAGAGAATTTGTGCTTGAACTTCTATCTAACTTTTCCTGCAAATAACGGCAAAACCACAGGAATGCATCAGGGTGACTTTGAGAAGATGTAAAGAATCATGATTTTTCTTCTCCATTTAGTCTTCTAAAATTCCACATCAATGGCAAATAGGGAAACAAAATAAAGCCAAACTGACATATAATTACCTTAGCTGTAGCCCTTGAAGCAACTTGAGGGAATGTTACATCCAGATTATCCAGCTGCAAGAAAAAACACGTTAGACTTCACCAGTCATCAGAGTTAATAAAACAATCATAGCCATTCAACCCTCAACCCAGAATCTAAAACAGTAATATACTTAATTTATACAAAAACAAGTTCATTTTCACACACCATTTGTCCTTAGGCACATTCTATGCTATAAAATCATAACAATACCAGCTCTCTGTGAAACTACTTTCTGTTTCATTTTATTAGGAACTTCCACGGTAAGGAACCCTTTAGGCTGGTGGCGTTCTCAGAGCAAAATTTTAAAATTTTCTTCCAGAGTTAAATTTAACCATTCAGACAAAATCATCCTTTGTTGTATCTTGAAGTTTTCAAGGGTAGATTTGGTCACAGCAGAAATTAGCAAACTTAATGCTTACCTCCATTGAGGTTCTTGTAGCAGAAACATCTTGGCCCTCATCACTCTGTACATTGTCAAAACTCAATTCACTGTCATCCTGTGATTCAGAGTCAGTCTCCGCATCACCATCATCATCATCATAGTCCTCATAGTCATCATTCCCATCATCTTCAAGCCCATGAAATTGGTAATCTATATGTAGCTCCTCAGCAACGAGCTTGACATGAGGCTCAATTGATTCGAGAGATTTGAGTGCCTTCCTCAAGAAAGATAACTGCTTGAAAACGTACAAAATCATTTCCCCAATCAGCCTAATCTAAATAAGTGCAAGATACTGAAAGTTATCTATCTAGAACAGAACCTGAGCAGCATGATGTCGTGCTGCTTGCGTTAACAGACTGCGGGATTGTCCTTGCTTCAAAGATTTCATTCGGAAAACAAAAGTGTTTGCCTCTTCATCATACTCATCTTGAGCAACTTCCAGCTGATGAGGTGAAAGACCCTCACCCTTGCTACTTTTTATCCTCCCTTTATCTTTTGATCGCTTCACAAGGTCCTCATATATTTCTCTGAATATTAGACACCAATAGTGAGAACACCAAAGGTTTATGTTATGATGGAGTTCAAAAAAAAAAAAAAAAGAATAAGAAGAAGAAGAAAAGAACTAAAGTAAAGCAATCTATACCTCTTCTCATCACATCGCTTCTTCATTTCCTGCAAAGAAGTGAAGTCATTAACTGTCAATGTAGAAAAGTAGAGAACCATACAAAGAATCCACAAATATTGGTTTATACACCCAAAGATAATTATCACTGTAAAATCATGGGGATTATGCTGATCCAACAACTGGAAGTGTAAGCCACTCATAAGAGGGATATGCAGAGAAAAGATAATTGAAAACCTATTCTCAACATAAAAGAAACATTAATCATCACGTCAGCAGGGACTTTAAAAGTTACAGTAACGGCACCACCCACCTCAACTATGCGTAGTTCATTAAGAATGGACTCGGATGGAATTGTGATGGTCTGGAATATATGTGCGCGCTGGAACGTAAGAAAAAAAGGGAAAAGGGGGAAAAAAAAGAAAAGAACATTAAAACTGTACCAGAAAAGAAAAGTTCAAAATACTATGAACAAATTCCCGTCTTACATAGCTATCAACAAGTTTCTGTAGTTCTAACTGCACCTTCCCCAGCATCAGCAGAACCCTACCTACAGAAAAGCAGAAAGGCGTATAATTTTGACAGATATAGAGGCAAAAGCATGTGGAAATACTAGGCACCAAAATACAAAAAATAAAAGAGCCATAATCAATATCTTTAGCTACACATGTGTAAGTATAACAATGAAATTGCAACTCAATTTTGTTAAGTGCTAAAATTTTCCGTTGTTGAATGATTCTTATGTCCTCCTTCATTCAGAAAGAAAAGTCAAAACTGAGTATGACAACTACTAAATCATTATGAAGCCGAATGAGTGAAAATTGAATTAGAAAAAAAAAAAAAAGGATGTAAAATATGCTGACCATAGATGGCCATTGTTTAACATAATTAGAGTATAATTGTTGTTTTTAAGCCAAGAGCTTCAGAATGACATAGTTAAGCTGAAGGTTACAAAATAAAAATTGAGAATTCAAAAGAGAAGTGCTTTTATTGTCCATTCCAGAGAGGCTGATTTGAGTGATACCATGAAAGAGTCTGCTCGGAACTATACTGCAACTTCAGATGACTAAGCTGTAAATTGCTATAAAATATTCCACTAATTAAGGTGACCAAAAAACTTAAATTAAGAATCCATGTGCTAGCAAATAAGTTAAAAATATGAACCTTTTTAGCAGCAGAAGAAAGGGGGAATATTTCATAAGCTAGCAGTGATTTCAAAAAATAAACACTGAAAGAATCATTTGCTTACCACATTCCTCATCATCAGTCAACGAGTTTTTTTCGAGCAGACAATCCCCCATGTCTCCTAGTGATTCTGAAAATTCTGAAATCACAGAATTAACAAGTACAACTTTTTATTATCAAGCAAGTTGAAACAAGATGGCAAAAATTTTCAAATCTCAAAGAGTATAGCAAATCTTCAAAAAACAGAAAAACAAGTTGGAAAAAACAAGATGGGAAAAAATAATTAAAAAAAAAAAAATTACGAACAAAACACAGAGATAACATAAGAAATGAACTAAACATATTCATATTAACTGCTAAAACATAATGTCAAAAATCAAGTTGGTTAGTGTAAATTTTAACATTTTAAGAAGTTCATGTTTTCTTGATGTCTTTGAGCAACTCAAATAGGGAGGAAAAAGAAAAGGTACAAAAACAGCAGCACTGACGGAAGAGAACAAAGTCATCAAATAATACATGCGGACAAACAGTTAGGAAACCAAGAGGGCATAAGATTTGCATCCTTAAAGTAGTTATAAAAGCTCCAGCAATTGGATAAAATAGCTTCACCCTTTTACCCTTTCCATCACATTTACGCTGAAAATTGCCTAAGTAAGAGGTTAATAACAAAAGATGCAGCAACATAGACAAAAGAATCAAATCAGATTCCAACTGCGAACAGAAGCAGCGCACTATACACTTTAGCAGAGTAGTTACCATAAACAATGTTAGCTGTAGCAGCAGCAGCTGAGAGTAATCTGTCATAACAACCTCTTATATCTTTCATATCCTGTAGAAGATACAAGAACACAAAACCAAAAGCAGAGACAAACCAATCAGAGGCCTGCTTTTCTCAATTGAAAGTAATGAAGAAAGAATCTTGTACAGGGTAGGGAGGTGGTACTTAGAGGCACGATAAAAACTGACGACACAAACCAATCCAAAAACGTGACACGTTAATAGAATGAACATAAAGGTGGCCTGTTTATTCCAAGGGTAACATGAAAACAGCATGAAGATCAGGACTCAAGGTATCGTGTTAAGTTCACTTAGTGAAAACAATATTGATACCCTTAAAAAATTAGATCATATGCAAACACAGAGTGCCAGTTAAAACAATCCCACGCTCTCTAACTAATTGACATACATCAATAGGCTAAAAACACCTAAAGCAGGTCAAATGCACCCTCGTAAGCATTCAAAACTCAAACCACTGTTATGAAAACCTACAACTAAGAGTGCTATAAACACAGGGCTTCTTGTGTATGATACACTAAGGGAAACCGAAAGACCGATTTGTATTATTCCTCATTACTACTGAGTTAACACTAGTCTGAGTGATTTGTCCCAACTTTTGAAGTGGGGCCGCCTGTGAATGAAATATACTACTCCTACAGATGTTTTAACTTCAAAACACGCGATTTCCAAACCCCAAACAGACTTTCACCAAAATTAATCCTTCTGGTAAAAAAAAAAAAAAGAGGTACATTCCAATTTCACATCAAAAATAGAAATTAAAAAAAAAAAAACGATCCAACCGTTACAATAATCGTGGGCAAAAAAGAAAAAAAAAAAAAGGAATGGCATCATGAGGGAACGACCCCGTACGCGTAAGAAAAAAAAAAGAAAAAAAAAAAAAGGAAACCTGGGAAGCCTGATCGAGCTCGTCAATTTGAGCCCGGGATTTAGAAATCCGGGGATGGTGCAGTTTCCGGTCGTGATGATGGTGTTTAAGAGCTCCTCGCAATTTCTTCAGCGACGTCTTCATCTCCTGATTTCTTCAACAATCAACTGACCAAAAAAATGATGGGATTTTTTTAAAAGCAATAATATAATCCCAGGGGAAAAAAATGGCACAGAAACAAGTATAGAAATGAATCAAAGGATGTGAGCTGATGTAAATAAAGGGGTGGAACAGAGCAAATCAATGGAGGACACGGAGAAATTGAGAATATCAATATATGATTTATTAGGTTTCAAAGGAAGAGAGAGAGAGATAGAGAATGGAGGAAGATGGAAAAAAAATAAAAATAAAAATATAAAAAAAATGGGGGGAATGGTCAGTGGTCAAAAAGAAGAGGTGAAGAAGATTTTTGGTCTCCGTTCAAACCCTTCCCCCAAATTGTTCTTTCTTCCTTACCTTCACTCTCTTACCTCCTCCCTTGTCTACACCAACAATGGCGCCATTTTCATTTTCTTTCTTCCTTTCCCCCCTTTTTTTTTTTTATTTTCTTTGGCTCTTTTGTTTTATTTTTTCTGTTTTCCCAATTCGTGTAAAACTTCTTTTCTTAAGTGGACATTTGGAAAGGTTTGTTTCATACTACCATTATTGTTACTATTATTATCAATGTAACTTTTAGTACAAGTTTTGTTGCGGGAATATGGTTTGATGGATCGTGTCACATTTATAAAGGAAATTCATCCGTCCTAAGAAAAATTCACTTTGTTGTACTATTTTGATTTTAGAATGAGATTATTTTTGGAAACGTAGACATTTTTTTAAATGATTATTAATTCATCTAATTGTGATTAGTCATTTCACTATCACAGTTGGGGTTTAACTATTGGATAAACCCCGGATAACTAATTTTTTAACGGTCGTTTCGTTAGAATCTTTACTAAGAATATTACAAAGAAAGTATATATATATTTTTTTGTTGGTTAACAGTATAATTTATTTCAATGTGTAATAACAGTTATTATTACTTTTGCAGGGGTTTTTATTCTTTTGGAAAGAATTCTAATGTAAAGCGAGCACTTTAAAGAATCGGTTAATATGTGATTCATTGCATTACTTTAAAAAAATAATCCCTCCATCCTACAAAAATAATCCACTTTGATAAAAAAAATCTTGTCCAAAAAAAATAGTCCAGTTTCAAGAAAGTCAAAATAAAAAAAAGATAAAATGACTTAACTGTCCTTTTTATAAGCAAATTCAATCCACCCAATTTTCAGTTCCATCGGTAATTTTCTTCCCAAAAAAAAAAGGAAAGAAAAAAATTTCATCGGCGATGTTGTCGGGCATCGACGGCTATGAATCTTAATGCTAAAATTTTTCGGTGATAGCATTGGAAGATGTCAAGTCACTGACGAAGAAAAATGTAATATGAAAGTCAATCGAAAATGAAGAAAAGAACGTTTATCGATGATAACAAAGCAGTGGCGGGCATCAGCAGCGGACGGCAGCGGCTAGAAAAAATGAAAAGCAGTGGCGGCGGCCGTCGTCAGTGGCTGTTAGAGATGTAGCTCGATCCGAATTATGGCTGACGGAGTTTTTTTTGCCACCGTGACAATTTGAATTCACGGTATCCCATCTTTTCCAGCCGGAAGTTTCCCGGAGACATTAAAGGCATAGATTCAGCCTTGCTTTGCGGTAGCGGACAGGAGAGGCTCTTCTGAAAAATAATGCGGTTTGCTTTTTATTTTTTTTTAAAAAAAAGGAAGAAAAATAGTATTGGCTTAGTGATGTTAAATTAATTTTTAATTAGGGATAAAGTTGGAAGTTTAAAGGATTCAATGAGTTGTACCTTGCTTAAGTTGATTAAATTAAAAAAATTGTACATTTTGAAACTGGACTATTTTTTTTGGGACGAAGGGACTACATCAATAATAATTTTATCATACCCACTTCACCGTATGTGTTGTGCTTTTGCAAAATATGTCATTATTCATACTAGTAAGTCGTTAATGTACATTGTTGAATAGTGGAGTACTTGATATTAAAAGTACTAACATAAAATCACGAGAATCTGTCTCTATTTAAGAATAACTACATTCTTATACAATAAACATCATAATCATTTTGGGAAAGTAAGAATTTTGTTAAAGTGTGAATGATAAAAATGAAAATAAGGTTGTTTCTTTCGTGGTGAAGAATTTTATTGCCAATGTTAATTACTAATGTTTTTTGCGTGTTCATTTGAAAAACCGAGTTCCGTGTTATTTTATCAAAAAATGCGAATCTTATTTGACAAACAATTTAATAAATTAAGATAAAGTAGCCTAAACGAGTGCTAAACGAGTGCTACCAAACCGAGTATACATTTTTTTTAATCCCACATTATAATAACACAACAGGCCCAGCCCAAAATTTTTCAGTGTAGAAATTTCCAAACAGTGACGGTTATAGCAATATCTGGTCAGGATTAAGAGATTTCGAAGTAACTAAAACAAGTCTTAATATAGTAGTACTCCAGTATTATTGATACTTACATTATTAATTAGTTTGTTGACATTTTTCGTCTTTGCCATATCGGGCCTACAGCTGACTAATGATCGAGCCCAAATTGTTGGGCCTTTTGTTTTGAATAGTTAACAATAAGGGGCGGAATGGTGTTAGGTCCGTTCGAAGAGAGAGGGAGTAAAAGAAGATTCGGGAATTCCGGCGAGGAATGCAGACACGAAGTGTGTATCTTCCCGCCGGTCAAGTTTGTGCCACCGGTAGTTTTAAGGTTCCACTATTCTTCTGTTATCTTTCTTGATACATTTCATTAATCCAAATTCATCTGTTCTGTCTGTAATAGTATTGCCCAGCTACGGTGTTTTCCGCTTTGCTTGGGCTTGATTTTGAGTCGGTTATGTCCATTTGTTATTGCCTTGCACTTGTCGCTATATGGTTGAAAAAACTTACAAATGTCTGAGTTTTGAATTCGATAAAATTTTATGTTAAAATTCAAGTCTTGATTACTCATATCTGTTGAGGATTTTTCTGGTTGGTTGAAATTTTTTATAATGCTGAATTTCAGTTGTTCTTTGTTAACTGCGGTGCTGATCATACTCAGAGGCCAGTTTAATCCGGTAAAGCTGGAATGGCAAAAATTTAGAAGAATTTATATATGATTTAGGTCAACATATTTCAGTCTGTTGAGAAAATATGAACTCTATAAATTCATTGCACATTGATAATATCTCTAGCAATGCTTTTTATTTCCAAAAAACGGATTGTATTTCTAGGGATCGAATCAATATAAATTCAAAATGTCCAGTTCATCGGGTAATGCTGGAAAGGCAAAGATTTAGAAGAATTTATTTGTGATTTATGTCAAAGCATATTTCAATGACTGCTGAAAAAATATTTTCAGTATAAATCCTGTGACATTGGTCCCTAGCAGTGCTCTTTACTTCTGGTTTGTATTTCTAGGTATTGAATGGATACAAATCCGAAATGCCTGTTTGATTGTGTTGATGTTGATTATTGTTTCAATTTGGTTTCCTTTTTTCAGGAAAAAAAGCTTTTGCTATGTAAAGCCCTTGTATGTGCAGGGCAATGGAAGGTTAGAGCCGTTAAGAGGTATTCTATATAACATTACCATATATTTTTTTATTCTACTTTATGACATTTTCCACTGATTATGCATGAGTTCCAGTCCAAGGATGCCAAAATACCTGCCTGGACTTGCTTCCTGAACATAGCTACCTAACAGTAATCTCTTGTCGAAATTTGAAAACCTTAGTTGTCTTGTTAGAGTTGCTATGTTCGCTCAAATGGTTAATTTCCTTTTGATATAGTCAATTGCTGTCTGATCTTCTCTTCCAGGTTATTCCTCCTGTTTGTCTGTGATATTATTTTTTATTGTTTGAAGGAAATTGCTATTTACAGGAAATCTTACGCTCTCCTTGGTTTCCTATACCCTTAAGACAGAATGGTGGTTCGTTATTTTTCACCTTTTTGTTACTTGTATCATTTAGGATAACTGAAAATGGTTTTCTCCTATAAACCTGGAAAACACCAATAAATCTTGAAGTTTACTCGGTCTGAAATTTATATGTGAAGTGTCCTTATTCTCGCTTCTTTCACTCATCTGGAAGAGTCGTAAAGTTAAAGTTGGTACAAGTGTTTAGTGGGGTGATATTTAGAGTCTACTCTCAAAATCATTATTGGAAGATATTTTTGTGCATGAGTTTTGAAAATAATTACATACTATTGAAAGATACACTTTGATAGAATTTGAGTTTTGTGCTCGGCCTGGGATATACTGAGGCCCATGACAACATGTCGGTTGTTTTATTTGAAAGGAATTTGAAGCCACATCGTTCACATAGTATGTTTCATCGTTAACTTGTATCTCCATTCTTCTCAAATGACATGATTTTAGCTTGTAATCCTTTTCACAGCACTCTTTATTAGAAGCATGCGCAGAGCAAACGCAAACTGCCCACTTACATTAACCAATAATGTCCTTAGACGTGGAAAGTGAATGTGCGTTTTGAGAATACAAGACTTAATGGACTTTCATGAACAGAATTTGGTGGCTGAAACTTGTCAACCATCACTAATGTTGGACGTTGACGTGTAACTGCTCGTAAAATTTTCTATTGTGAAATTGAAGAAAATGGAAGCTAGTCGGCAGAATCTTTTGTGGTAATGATCATGCTGCCATTATCATTTCTGCACTTTCCCTTTTTTTAGCGTGTTGGTAAAATGTTAGACTTGATCTTTAGATAACTTCTATAGTTGTCAATCTCCTTACCCTATTAGATTTAGTTTTCGAAAGCAACTGATCACCATGCTTCATGGATATGGTGTAAGGTTATACTCAGGGTGCTGATTGAAATTGACACTTGAACTATCGAATTGTTTGTTGTTTCATGCATCTATTGGTTGACTGGATCAAATGGTTATTGAACTTTTTGATTGAGTGAACAAAGTTCCTGGTTACTAATATTGTGAACATTGAATTATGTGTCTAGTTTTAGACTTGGTAAACGTTTGCCGTTGTTTGTAATTATTGTTACCCAATGTAGTAGACATTAATCTTAAACACTTTGGGCCCCGAAACTATTGTGTTTTGAATAACATAATGCATGAGTAGGAAGTATGAACACTGTTGTTCCCTGGCTCACAAATTGTGCAAGCTTTTTACATTCAGTATTTGTTGCAAGAATATCCTGGGTCTCATTGTTTGAAATTGTTGGTTTGGGGAAGGACTGGGTAGGGGAAAGGCTGATTCAAACATCATGTTACTTATGTTTCCATCTCTTGCCCAAATGCAATTGCCTAATTGTGCTGTGGTGAAGGCATTCAGTTCATCCAGGACATAGAGGTGCTCACTGATAATGCAGTCTATCACACCCCGTCAAAAGATGCTTGATTTATAGATTGTCTGTTCCTCATAGCCTCAGCTTGCAATGGTTTCCTAGTTTTTGCAATAGAGAGCAACGGCATGTCTTAATGTGCTCAAGAAATGCATGGTGATTGGTCAACCGTTCTTAGTTTTGAAAAGGAAACATGGTAGAATGGCCTTAGTAAATATGTATGAGTATGAATTGACCTAAGCTATTTCATTTGAAAATAAATGTATACTCCACTGTTAAGCTCCGTTTGATATAGTCTTTTTAGAGATCATGAAGAATTGAAGATCCACTGTTACTTCGTACACTTTTCTGATGAGATATGAATACTTGGAGTGAGGGAGTCATTCTTTGGCACCCATATCCAATTCCAGTTATTTTGAAGCTACAACGTCCTCTCCCCTTCATGAACATTGGTGCAATTGTTTTATATTCTCTGTTTTTTTTTTTTTATCAGTGGATTAAGCTTCAGTGATTCATTCAGTTTATTGGACAGAATACTCCCTCCCTTCCATCCTTAATCAGGCATTTTGATTTTTTCTAAGGTTTCATTGTGTTCATCTAATTGAAAATAAAACATTAAATATATCTTATAATTGCAAGACACAATAAATGTGAATATATATTTTTCAAATTTTATTTTAAATTATAAAAACATGATAAATGAAACTTATAAGAAATTAAAATACTTTTTAATAAGGACTAGAGGGAGTAATAAGTAGTATCTCGAAACCCCCCCTCCCCCCCCAAAAAAATACCAAAAAAAAAGAAATAATAAGACTGCTGTGTAATGAACCAGTTGCGGTAAAGGTTAAGAGTAAATTAACATTTGACAACATTGCTTGCGCCAAAACTCAAAAAGTAAAAATGTGACTATCATCGGATGAAAAACTCAAAAAAGTACCTTTTTTTTTTTGAAATGGTAAAAAAAAAAGGGTATCAATATTTTTAAGTTTTATTTTTTATGTTTGAAAATACTTCTATTTTCGACTTAGGGCCTGTTTGATAATAAAACTTAATGCTTAAAATTATTTCATTGAACACTTTTTCAATTAAGCATGTTTAATAACAAAAAATGAATTTCTTAATGATTAAGTGATGCTAAAACTGCAGAACAAAATATAGACAATAAAAATTAGCTTATTGTTTATTTCACAATTACTTAATGAATTCGGCATTTCTAATTTAGTATTAACCATTTAGAATTAAGCACTAATTTTTATCAAAGAAGAAGGGGTGAAATTTCATATTTTCAAATCGAACGGCAATAATGGTGAACCACCACAGTAAAAGCTCTATGAATTAACAAAACCTGTTATACAGTTTTGCCGGCCTAATTAATTTGAAACAAGTAAAAAACATAATACTCCCTCTGTCTCAAAATTATTGTCCACTTTGAAATTTCACTTTTAGTACAATTTGAACTAAAAATGAAAACCCAAACTGGACAATAATTATGGGACGGAGGGAGTAAAATTGATAGAATAAAAGGACGATGGATTAATTTTTCATATTAATACCGTGAATAAATAATAACTTACCAACAGGTATATACCAAAAAAAAAAAGGAAAAATTTAGATAAGAGATAATGAAAAATATATAATTCATGAGGGTAACACTTTTAAATAATTTGTGTCAAAGGCACGACAAACTCCAATCCAAACATGATTTTAGTTATAATTTTCAAACAAATTTATTTTTTACCCCTAGTACATTTGAAAGTTTATTTGGTTCTATATATGAGATTATTTTCATGGAATAACTTTTTTAAGCTAAAAAAGAAAAGGAAAAAAATAAAAATACGAAAATAATAGGTGAAGGAAAGTGGAAAGTGGACCCCGTGATACTCCCACCCATGACCATGAGGTACGGGGTAAAGCACGCGTAGTCAGGAGAAGACCGTGGGCCCGGAACCCAAACAAAACAGGCTATACACATCAGCAGGGCGACCGCAGAAGGCGGCACCGCGGCAGATGTGGCAGCGTGGAATTCCATGGCCTGAAACCCCATCGGAATGTCGGCGCTGATCTCGAGCTTCCCAATTCCCTCACTACGTGTGTGTGTGAGAGAGCGAACAATGTACTCCTCCATTTACCAAAATCCATTTCCTAGTGGAGTAGTAAAAACATCAATAAGTTGTGTCAGCAATGTACGTATATCCTCATCTTAGGGATTTTGAATTTTACTCACTATTGTTATTCACTTTTCCCTAAATTTACTTCAATTCATCGTCCAACCTAGTTTTTATCACTATTTTTACACATCATGACTTCCATTCTTACTTTGCCTGGCCAGGGCATGGAAAAGCCCTTCACTGTGATTCGCAATGACTCGTGTGATTGAAATGATAATGAATAAACACATTTATGTGTTTTATTTCAGTCTCGAAACAATTGTTATATTTTCGGGCACAGAGATATATCGTTGAAGTCTGAGATTAATAACTTAATCGTACATGGCCAACATTTTATTTTAGAATTAGTGTCTAGTTTAAAATTTAAGTTTTAATAGAAAATTAATGAAAAATAAAATTTCAAATTACACAATAATTTTTGAAATGGAAAAAGTACGTATATAACATAGTTAGAAATTTGAAGTGAATGCAATAAATATAGTTGATATGGCCTGTGTGGCTGGACCAATGCTTTGTTTTGGAGTATTAATTAAAGTGCATGCGTCCCATCCCATTTACTATCATCTTGCATTGCTTGCATGGCTTGACAAAAAGGGGGTACAATTTATCATTACATTTCACAATCACACTCACACCCTCAAACACAGATGGATCCATCCAACATTTATTCCATACTAGTACTGATCTCACTTAGTACTAAAAAAAAGAGTTCTATTTATTGAACCAACAAGAAATAAAATTAGCTTAGCAACTTTTTATATGGATATGAATTATGATGATAATCACTTGCATAAATAACCAACTAATTTTTTTAATCAAGTGATTATCATAGCAATCATGCACTTTCACTATAATAATTCACCATGATTATCGTTCCTCTTCCCACAAATAGTGACAAGGTTATTATTATGGTTGCAGAAATGATCACTGATTTTTTGTATATATATCTCTTTTCTTTCTCCTTGTATTATGATCATTAACTCGGATCGAACATTGTATACCCCTACTTTAGTGCTGAAAAAAATCAATGGATTGCCGCATGCATACATTCTTATGGTTATGGGGGGCACAAACACACGTTGAAAGTTTTAAGTTGGGAGCATTTGCATGCCACACCAACCAAGAATAGATTTTTAAATTAATATCGTGACACACAAAAACTTTGGGGTATGATTGAGAGAGAGAGAGAGAGAAGAAATTAAAAGGGAGAATGAAAAAGTGATTTTGTGGTGAAGTCAAATTGAGTTTTAATTGCACGTACTCTGTTTGTGTACTGCTTGGTGGTGAAGTCTTAATAATTTCATTCGAAGATCGATGGACGTAATTCTAATGATCAAAAGTAAGAAAAAAGAAAGTCGATGGGGGAAAAGGGGAAGAAAAAAAATTCAATCTCACCCGGCAAGTGAAAGTGTGTTGGTGCGGCCAACATAGTAATACTACTCATTTCATCCTTAGATATAAAGGGAATTGTCGTTGAAAACTCTACTCATCAGTTTCTTCATTTTCGATATTACGTTTTCTACGGATTAATTATTTCTAGAGCTATAACTCATAGAATGTAAATTGACATTTATCATTTTGTATTTTCTTGTAACACTCGGCCTTTTCAACGAGGAAGGCCACCTTTTTAAGGAAGAGGTATTAAACTAATCAAGGGTTCGAATCTTGCCATGTCATGAGCATGAAGCAACTTTAAATTCTTTGGTCAGTTTTCTCACTCATCTAGCTATTTATCATGAGTGAGGGGAATTAGTAATTGTTTTTTACGGTAGACACGCTGTAATAATACATGTATGTTGGCCAAAAGAATACTGTCCCTTACATATCCTGATGGTGGTGATAATTTATAAGAATCAAACATCCATAAAATATTCGGAGTATTCATAGGATTCAAACTGCTCGACCAAACAGAATATGCGTGAACTAGGTTGATGAAGCTAGAGGTATTCAAGAAAGGAAAAGGGTTTATGCATGGGGAAGAAACATGGAAGTTGGAAATGATGAGGGTTGAGGGCAATGATGTCTGAGGTGGGGTAATTTGTAAATGGACAAATTAATATAATTGATTGGGGGAAAGGTGTAGAAAAGAATGGAATATTTAGGGGTTGGAGACATGCAAAAGAGATACAGTGACATTCAGAAACCACATTTGCCTTTTTTTTGCCCCCATTTCTTACACTGATCAAACACATTCGATTATCTAATAACAACTACTATGATCACTTTCTACCTCATTTTCTAACTTAGTAATACGTGTCGTGTATTATAGATTTCAACAAAAACACAGAATTATAGACACAAATTGACATTGGAATTCGCCTCAAAACATGCGAATCGTCCTTTCCATGCATGCCTGCCTGCCCTAGACAGGTTAAAATTTAGAGACCTGTGGTTCTCTGAGTGGACTGCCCATTCTTAACCATGCATGCATCATATTTCAGGCATATACACTTTATTATTTTTATCATCTATAACAGTTTGGATGCTTTTTCAATTTTAGTTTTCAGTTCCTCGCAGTTCTAGGCATGCATGCTTTTGGCTATAGTTTTCTTTCTCACCAAAATTAATGTTGTAGGAGTAGTATGGTAGCTAGAGACAATGTTAGGGCTTTAGGGACACCAGCTATCAATCACCTGATCAATCATTAAATTTCTAAACGCTATGTATTTTTGATGATATATGTATCCAACGGTTTTTTTTGTGTGTGTGTGGATACATATTATTTATATGAAAGCAGACAGATTGAAAACTTAACAATGTATTTTATCCCTTTTTCCTGAATTTTTCGAATTTGGTCTACGATAAATTACATTATTTTTGGGGACGCCAATTTGTACACGTTTTTACTAGTTACTACAACAGACTATTTTATAAAGGAAAAATTTGTGCTACGTACACAATATGTAGCAAGTGTTGGTTTATGCAAAATATACGCCTGCAAATACAAGTATTCCCTTTTGTCCAAAATTATTATCCAGTTTAAGATTTTAGTTTTAATACAATTTGAACTAAAAATAAAACTCAAACAAGACAATAATTATGGGACGGAGGAAGTATCTTTGGTTAAATCAGGATATACTACCAAAATTTTTTGCGCACCAAACACTTGCTAGTAACCCGAACCTGATATAATGTGCTAAATTCAGACAAAATATGTCAACAAAATAGTAAATACCCAGTTTAGAGTGTTTAGATCAAGTGATTGGTTTCCTCTTTTATAGTAACATGGCAACGAGTATGTCCCTAAATAAGCAATAATTAATTAGTGGAGTTATTGTTAACGTTGGGGGCGTGGGAATCAACCAAGCAGTGTATATTGAGGCCTTCCCCCCTTAATTTTTTTTTCTTTTTA